GCGTTTTGAGGCTAGAAGCGCTCGGTCCGAGCGTTTTTCTTCCACCGAGTTGCGTGGTTGCGCTTGTCTAGGCCTCTTGTCAAGCCAGCAAGGGCGTGCAAGGGTTGCGAGCATCATTGGTCATCGGCCCTTGAAAATGAAGAGCGCCTGCTGCACTTCCTGCACATGTGCGGATCCTAGTGCGTTTTGAGGCTAGAAGCGCTCGTTCTGAGCATTTTTCTTCTACCAGGTCACGTGGCTGCGCTTGTCTAGGCCTCTTGCCAAGCCAGCAAGGGCGTGGAAGGGTTGCGAGCATCATTGGTCATCGGCCCTTGAGAATGAAGAGCGCTCGCTGCACTTCCTCCACAAGTGCCGATCCTTGCACGTTTTGAGGCTAGAAGCGCTCCCAGTGAGCGTTTTTCTTCTACCAGGTCATGTGGCTGCGCTTGTCTAGACCTCTTGCCAAGCCAGCAAGGGCGTGGAAGGGTTGCGAGCATCATTGGTCATCGGCCCTTGAGAATGAAGAGCGCCCGCCGCACTTCCTCCACATGTGCGGATCCTAGCTCGTTTTGAGGCTAGAAGCGCTCGTTCTGAGCGTTTTTCTTCTACTAGGTCACGTGGCTGCGCTTGTCTAGGCCTCTTGCCAAGCCAGCAAGGGCGTGGAAGGGTTGCGAGCATCATTGGTCATCGGCCCTTGAGAATGAAGAGCGCCCGCTGCACTTCGTGCACATGTGCGGATCCTAGCGCCTTTTGAGGCTAGAAGCGCTCGCAGTGAGTGTTTTTCTTCCACCAGGTCACGTGGCTGCGCTTGTCTAGGCCTCTTGCCAAGCCAGCAAGGGCATGGAAGGGTTGCGAGCATCATTGGTCATCGGCCCTTGAGAATGAAGAGCGACCGCTGCACTTCTTCCACATGTGCGGATCCTAGCGCATTTTGAGGCTAGAAGCGCTCGCAGTGAACGTTTTTCTTCTACCAGGTCGCGTGGCTGCGCTTGTCTAGACCTCTTGCCAAGCCAGCAAGGGCGTGGAAGGGTTGCGAGCATCATTGGTCATCGGCCCTTGAAAATGAAGAGCGCCCGTTGCACTTCCTCCACATGTGCGGATCCTAGCGCGTTTTGAGGCTAGAAGCGCTCGTTCTGAGCGTTTTTCTTCTACCAGGTCATGTGGCTGCGCTTGTCTAGGCCTCCTGCCAAGCCAGCAAGGGCGTGGAATGGTTGCGAGCATCATTGGTCATTGGCCCTTGAGAATGAAGAGCGCCCGCTGCACTTCATGCACATGTGCAAATCCTAGCGCGTCTTGAGGCTAGAAGCGCTCGCAGTGAGCGTTTTTCTTCCACCAAGTCACGTGGCTGCGCTTGTCTAGGCTTCCTACAAAGTCAGCAAGGGCGTGAAAAGGTTAAATTTACTTTTCGCGTCAGCCAACCGAAAAGTGAAAACGAATGTATAAGGTTGCTACGCAACCCAAAAAATACGCCATGAAATACGTAATATACGTACACCCAAACTTCAAACATGTGTACAGTGTTGGAGATATCGAACCGACACGTCAGTGCCCCCAAAAGCACAGAGGGACCGTACGCTTCCTCAAATCAAAGCCACGCTGGAGCCGAGCGGACGAACCATTTCCTGCCATGCAATCGGCCAATCCGCTAACCCCTTGCTTTTCCCGCAAACCACCCTCCAGTCTGCTCTCCGCGCCTCAGCCCCCTCGGGATAGGATCCAGAAAATCCGACTGTCCATTCGTCATGAGTGCAGAAGGGCGCTCTGCGCGTACCAAGCCCGTGTCGTGTGAGTGTTTCACCACATCAGCTTTTCGCCCCGCCAACACCCCTCGCCTGCTCTCCCCCCACGCTCCAACACACCACCACCTGCTCCTCGCTCTCTTTTCCCCCAGACTGGACGCTTTCTAGGGTTTCATTGCAGCAGTCAGCAGCACATCCTTTTCCGCTTCATCTCGCCACACCATAGCCTGCAGAAGAACGAACGACCCCCTCGTTTCACAGCAGCACCCAGCCACCCGTCGTTCAGACACTCGCTTTCTCACCAGCAAGTAACGTCTCACGGGCTGCTGCAGACATGTCAGGTTCAGATGGAAAAGCTGGTGGACAAGGGAACATCCTTGCAGTTTCAGAAAACAATCCTGGTCCACCTGGATTCGAGAAATCTTCTAGCAATCGGTCGAGTCGTGACACGCCAGGTTACCGTTGGTCCGAGGACGAGGAGGAATTAATCGCTAAGGCGAGGTACGAGTTACGAGGCGACTACAAGGAACTCGTCGGCAAGCAAGGCTCCAGTTTCTGGCTGAAAGTGTGGGCTCAGGTGAAGGCCTGGGATCCTGCCTGGGATCGACCCGTCGACGCGGTAAAAGTTAAAATTCACCGCCTGGAGCGGAAGTATCGGGAAATTCTCGAGCAGGAAGCTCAGCCAGGCGCCGTTGCCGTTCAGAAGCCGTTGTGGTGGAAATGGCTGAGTCTTTACATGGAGGAGAAGATGGAGGAGGAAAGGCAGGCGGCGAGGGAAGCATGGAGAGATGCCGGACGGCCGGACGTTGCGGATCAGCAAACGCTTCCGTCGTCTTTCAGGCCGTTCTCGCAGACGGTCGGACCGATTCAGCCGGCGTATCCTCCCCCAGCGGGAAGCCCCTCTGACGGACCGGACGGATCGCGATTACAGCAACTTGACAGAACGCCGTCAACGAAGCGGAAGAGAGATTCCGAGGCAGCTCTCGCGGCTGAAGACTCACTGGAGCAAGAAACAGAATTAAATTCCGTCAAGAAGAAAAAAGGTTCACGCAAGAAAGGGGCATTGAAGGATGGGGATCTCTCAGAAGGAGCAGCAGGTGCAGCAGCAGACGGGAATGGTGATGGCGGTGCTCCGGCAAGAGAAGCGTCGACAAAAGAATACGAGCGGTGGAGCGAGCGCGAGCAGGTGTTAGTAGCCCGCGCGCGGTTCGAGCTCCACGACGAGTATAAGAAGCGGCCGGCCGGGCAGCAAGGAAGCTTCTACGGCCGCCTGAAAGAGTACATTAGATCGACTAAGGAGCCGTCGTTCGACCGGCCGTTCGAGGCGATTAAGTTGAAACTGCACCGCATGGAGCGGAAGTATAGGGTCATTAAGGAGCGTATAAGGGAACGCAAGCCGGGCGACGCGGCGGAGGAGAACGGGGAAGGAGCAAGCGCGCATCTGGTGCTAAAGCCCAAGTGGTTCAAGTGGATTGACCGTTACTTAAGCGAGTCGCTCGGCTGTTTACCCTGTGCCGAAAGCCTTTTCCCGGACAGCCCTAGCCCCCCTTCCTCTCCTCGCGACAGCCCTTCGCAAAGCGACGCTCCTGGCGAAGGGCTCGCCCGTGCGACGGGCAGACAGTCGGTCGCAGATGGTACGGGCTGGAAGACGACAAGAGGGGCGGGCGGGAGCGACTCTATGCTGCTGCCGCCCAGCGCGTCGGTGAACAGCCAGCTGAATGGGACGGGTGCGGGCGGTGCGAGTGGGGCGGGAGGTGAGAATGTGACGAGAAGCGAGGCTGCGAACGGCGCTGCGAACAGCTCTGCGACTGGAATGGTCGGAATCGTCAATCCCGGCGCCATAAACGGCGCAATCAACGGCTCCATCAACGGCGCCATGCCGCCTCCCCCGCACATGCTCACATCCCCGCCGGGCTTTTTACCGCCTCCGCCCCCCGGTTTCTTCCCCCCCGGCACTTTCTTTGCGCCCGGCGTCTTCCCCCACAGCTTCTCCGCCACCTCCTCCAGCTTCCGCCCGCATGCCCCCCCTGGGGCCCCGCCCCCGGGAGGCGTCTCCGCCGCCCTTCTTTCCCCCCAGGGCGCAGGGCCTCCTGGGAATCAGGGCGCAGGTGGCGGCACTGGCGGAGCTGGCGGGGGAAGCGGGGGCAGCGGAGCAGCGGGCGCGGGTGTCCCAGCAGGGGGGTTCTGGGGGCAGCTGGTCAGCCCAGGAGGAGACGGCAGCATGGGGCAGGACGGTTTCTCCACTCCAGGGAACATACCAGGGGGGGTGCCTTTCCCTGGTAGTGCATTCGGCGGGCAGGCCAGCACAAACGGTGGGAGCCTGGCAGGTGTGACGACTGGTGGTGGTGGTGGGGGTGGGGGCGGAAGTAGCATCAGTGCTTTGGAGCAGAAGCTGGAGGAGGTGATTCGGGTGGTGAGGGAGAGCAACGAGGAGTGGCAGAAGCGGTTTGTGGAGGAGCAGGAGAAGAACCGCCAGCTGTTTCGCGAGCTCTTCATGACCTTCATGGGGCCAAGGATGAACGCCCCCACCACTTGACGCGAGTGTTGATTTGGCGGGTTCCATGTGCAGTCAGTGCAACAGGTGCGATGGGAGTCCGGTGTTGGTGTGCTGTTCATGTTCCCAGCTGCTGACCCGCTGTTGGTTTCGTTTGGTGCGTGTTGATGCTCGAATGGCCTGTGGCCCCCCTGCTGTCATGTGTCTCCCCTGCTGTCAAGTGTCTTGCGATGTTTTAGTCTGTGATGCGCCGGTTTGAAAGCACAACCCGTTGCTCCTCTCTGTTCCCTCCTTGTGCAGTCATGCTCTCAGGTTGGACTGGCTGTGAGGGACGTGCGCGTCCTTCTCATTCTTGGTGCACCGCGTGTTCCGTTCAACACGGAACCAGCACGGTCAACCAGCACGGTCAACCAGCTGTGACCAGTGACACAGAGAGCAGTTGCTGCTGCGGTGGAGCTTAGCTGCACCCGTGTAGGCAAAGAACTTGTCTATGTCAGCAGCTTTAGCTGTTTCTGGTAATCAAAGCGGTGCAGTGTATGTTTGTCAGATGGACACACAAGTCAAGTATGTCTTCATTCAAATTACAATGTCCTTCTACCGTATTCATGGCCTTCACAGGCAATGTCACGGTCCACCGGAAAGGGCTGCAACATAAATGCTCTTCTCGGGTTATTCTTACACCTTACAATACAACGAACTGGTGGAGTGGGGATGTGTGTGGATGACGCCCACGAACCAACCAACCACCACATCAACGCATTGTGCATGCTACGCGCCCGCCGCTCGGCCTATGCAGCGCCGAGCACAGTGATGGCATGCGGCAGGCTGGTGCAGCAGATGGTCTGAGGGCGCCTGCTCGCATCCAGCACGGCCCACCAGGGGTTGGGGTTCTGCGTGTGCCCTGGCCGCCCTGCCAGCTGTGCGTGTGAGGCGAGCAGCGAGGTGGGCGAGGGGCCCTGGTTGTCCACCACCGCTGCTGCGAAGAGCGTGTACTCGCCGGGTACAAGGAAGCACAGGCTCAGCTTGTGGTGCAGCGACTGGCCGGGGTCAAGCGTCGCGTCGATGCCGTTCAGTGTGCCTGTGAGGAGGGGTGTGCATGGTGAGTCACAAGGTGTTTGTGTGCAGGTTAGCATCGGCATTGGATTATCCATTCTCAAAGTACATGGGGAGCATGGTCACCTGCATGTGAGTTAAAATGGAGAGCAGTGCAGCATACACTACCCACCCACCTGCCCACATGACGTGCTGCTTCTGAGTGGCCTCCCCCACGCACGTCTCGCCAGTCACGTCGCGACACGTCACGCTGACACTCACGGCCAGCTTGCCCTTGCTCTGATTGGTCACTGTCAGCTCCACTGTTGTGAACTCCAACGCACTTGTCACACTGAACCCCGCCCCTCCCCCACTCCCTCCTGCTGCTGCCCCATCAGCATTCACAGCCCCTCCTCCCCCACTCTCTCCATCCCTCACAGCACCACCATCACCACCCGCCAGCCCTGCCGTTTCCCTCCGCTCACTGCCACCACTCCCAGCACCCCCAGCACCCACAGCAGCACCAGACGCAGCAGCAGTGAGAGAAGGAGCAGTGACACGGAAAGAAAACGCCAGAGGATCAGGCAGCAGCACAGCCACGGCCTGACTCTCCACCACCGCCCTCACTGCCTCCCTGATCCGCACCTCCCCTCGGCAGTTCCTAGCAGACAGCCACCGCACCTTCACGCGCGAGCAAATCGCATTGATGATCGTCGTGAACGGCGACGGGATTGGTCCGAGGCCTAATGCCAGCTGGCGGCGCACGGTGGTGTCGCCACCCGTCTGCTCCTCGTGGTGCAGCACTGCCAGGGCGGCCTCTGCTTCAGAGCCCAGGAGGGAATCGAATCCGCCGAGCGGGATGAGCAGGCGGGCGGCGCAGTCTCGTCCGATGCGGGCGTGCGAGACAGAGCCGCCTGACGCGAGGAGGGAGGCCTCTTCCAGAGAGGCCTGCAGGTTGGACGCTGGGGGGAGCAGACTGGCTGCCAGCAGAGACCCTGATGATGCCGATGCTGCTAGCGCTGCGTTTTTTGGTCCAGTGGCGGCAGCACCAGTGGTAGCAGCAGCAGTGGTGCCAGCAGCAGTGGTGCTGGGTTGGTCGTTGGGGGTGGGCGGGTCAACGAGAACGGAGACGTCAAAGGCAGAGTCAGTGCCGTTCCACACCTCCAGGTCCAGCAGCCTCAGCCCCTTGGCCTGTCTCACCGGCACCTCCATCTCCCCCACTCCCTTTCTCACTCCCGCCCCTCCTCCCCCCCCCGCTCCTCCCGCTTTCTCCTGGGAGCCCCACGTCAAGCCTGCCCCAGCCCCACCCCCACGTGCGGACGCAGCAAGGTTGGCAGCACCAGCAGCAGCACTGGTGCTGGCGATTCCCCCATCGGACTGCACGGCGGGAGTGACGCCCCCCGTGACGAGCAGGCGAGCGCGCACGAGGGAGAGCCCGCGGCGCACACAGAGGTTGATGGGGAAGGAGAGCCGCCGCCCCGGCACTGCATCGTCCTTCCTCTCCCTCTCCTTCTCCTTGCTGGTAGCTGCGGATTTGGAGGCAGGGGTGGTTGCTGCTGGGGTGCCGGGATCACTCTCAGGGTCTTTGTCTGGCCCTGCGTAATGCACGACCAGGTTCACTGTATCTTCCTCCTTGCTGCTCGTGCTCTGCTCTGCCCCCCCTCCGCCCTCCCCCCCTCCCACATCATCTTCGTCGTCCTCTGAACTCTCTGGTTGAAATTGTGCAACAATTTTTACGGGCAGGGTGACTGCGGCTCCCGGAAGCAGGGGCAGCGATGCTGCAAGTTTTTCCTGCCCGAGAACAATCAGGTGCCGCTTCTGCCTGCCCGCAACGGAAACAAATGCGTCTACTACGGGCACCCGGCTGGAATTTACCAGCTTGACCGAAATTTCCCGGACCTCCCCGTCGAAAAGAACTGCAGCTGCCCCGTCTCCGTCCTCCGCCGTTGCGACCAATAGCGGAAGCTCGGGCAGCACGGAAATATCAAGCACGGGCAGGACCGAGGTGGACGGGATGGGAGAAGAGGCCAAGAATCCCCGCCCGGCGCTGGCACCGCTCTTAACCGCAGTGTCGACACTCGCTGCGGCTGCAGAGAGAGAGGAGGTAGCAGAGATAGTGGGGGCGGATAGAGGAGTGGCTGTAGCAGCTGCTGCAGCGGAATTTGCAGCCACAGACGCAGCAGCTGCAGGCGAAAAGGGGTCCACCAATCCCACGCCTGGAATCAACGGCAGCCCTGCTCCCGATCCTGCGCTCCCAGCCGCCGCAGCAACGGTCGTGATTGTCGTGTCGGCGAATCGATGGTCCGTAAGCACCCCAAACGACTGCAGGAAACAGCCCAGGACAGTGATCACCCCCGGCGACCTCGGCAAGCCAGAGAGCGTGAGCAGGTGAGAGTAGGTATTGGGGCGAAGAGAGAGCGACGCGGGGAAGGGCTGGAAATCCCCGTCGACATTCAGATAGATGGATTCGATGTCGACAGCGCAGGCGCAGGGGTTGGAGAGCTCGATGATGACTTGAGCCACCTCCCCCACGATCCACACCATGTCGGGTTTCACGTTGGCTGCCCGCGTGGTGAAGGGCGTGTAGATGAACGGCCCCCCCCCGCCCGCCCCCACCCACCAGTCGCGCTTGCCTCGCGTGCGCTTCACGACCTGGGTCTGCTGGGGGGCTGTGGCGAATGCATGGAACCTGGTGGGGGGGAGGGTGGATTGTGAGAGGACTTTGAGTTGACTTGAACGCCCCCACCCACCAGTCGCGCTTCCCCCCCGTGCGCTTCACGACCTGGGTCTGCTGGGGTGCTGTTGCAAACGCATGGAACCTGGGGAGGGAGGGGTGGGGCCACAAGCAGGGTGTCTGAGAGGGCATAAAACTTTCTCTTGGATGTGAAAACAAATGACAGGGTTTCAAAGGTGAAAACGAACAAAAGTGAGCTCAACCAACAAACCTCCCTGCTGATGCGCTGATGCTGATGCGCTGATGCTGATGCTGATGCACTGATGCTGATGCTGATGCTGATGCGCTGATGCTGATGCTGATGCGCTGATGCTGATGCGCTGATGCTGATGCTGATGCGCTGATGCTGATGCTGATGCTGATGCGCTGATGCTGATGCTGATGCTGATGCGCTGATGCTGATGCGCTGATGCTGATGCTGATGCGCTGATGCTGATGCTGATGCGCTGATGCTGATGCTGATGCTGATGCGCTGATGCTGATGCTGATGCTGATGCTGATGCGCTGATGCTGATGCTGATGCGCTGATGCTGATGCTGATGCGCTGATGCTGATGCTGATGCTGATGCTGATGCTGATGCGCTGATGCTGATGCTGATGCTGATGCTAATGCTGATGCTGATGCTGATGCGCTGATGCTGATGCGCTGATGCTGATGCTGATGCTGATGCGCTGATGCTGATGCGCTGATGCTGATGCGCTGATGCTGATGCGCTGATGCTGATGCTGATGCTGATGCGCTGATGCTGATGCTGATGCTGATGCGCTGATGCTGATGCGCTGATGCTGATGTGCTGATGCTGATGCTGATGCTGATGCTGATACGCTGATGCTGATGCTGATGCGCTGATGCTGATGCTGATGCGCTGATGCTGATGCACTGATGCTGATGCTGATGCGCTGATGCTGATGCTGATGCTGATGCGCTGATGCTGATGCTGATGCTGATGCGCTGATGCTGATGCTGATGCACATGCTGATGCTGATGCTGATGCGCTGATGCTGATGCTGATGCGCTGATGCTGATGCGCTGATGCGCTGATGCTGATGCTGATGCTGATGCTGGTGCTGATGCTGATGCTGATGCGCTGATGCTGATGCGCTGATGCTGATGCGCTGATGCTGATGCTGATGCTAATGCTGATGCTGATGCTGATACGCTGATGCTGATGCTGATGCTGATGTTGATGCTGATGCTGCTGATGCTGATGCTGATGCTGATGCTGATGCGCTGATGCTGATGCGCTGATGCTGATGCGCTGATGCTGATGCTGATGCTGATGCTGATGCTGATGCGCTGATGCTGATGCTGATGCTGATGCTGATGTGCTGATGCTGATGCGCTGATGCTGATGCTGATGCTGATGATGCTGATGCTGATGCTGATGATGCTGATGCTGATGCTGATGCGCTGATGCTGATGCTGATGCGCTGATGCTGATGCTGATGCTGATGCGCTGATGCTGATGCTGATGCTGATGCGCTGATGCTGATGCTGTTGCTGATGCTGATGCTGATGCTGATCCTGATGCTGATGCGCTGATGCTGATGCTGATGCTGATGCGCTGATGCTGATGCTGATGCGCTGATGCTGATGCTGATGCTGATGCTGCTGATGCTGATGCGCTGATGCTGATGCTGATGCGCTGATGCTGATGCTGATGCGCTGATGCTGATGCTGATGCTGATGCGCTGATGCTGATGCTGATGCTGATGCTGATGCGCTGATGCTGATGCTGATGCGCTGATGCTGATGCTGATGCTGATGCGCTGATGCTGATGCTGATGCTGATGCTGACGCTGATGCTGATGCAGATGCTGATGCTGATGCTGATGCTGATGCGCTGATGCTGATGCTGATGCTGATGCGCTGATGCTGATGCGCTGATGCTGATGCTGATGCGCTGATGCTGATGCTGATGCTGATGCGCTGATGCTGATGCTGATGCTGATGTGCTGATGCTGATGCTGATGCTGATGATGCTGATGCACTCATGCTGATGCTGATGCGATGCTGTGATGCTGATGCTGATGCGCTGATGCTGATGCTGATGCTGATGCTGATGCGCTGATGCTGATGCTGATGCGCTGATGCGCTGATGCTGATGCGCTGATGCTGATGCTGATGCTGATGCTGATGCGCTGATGCTGATGCTGATGCTGATGCGCTGATGCTGATGCTGATGCTGATGATGCTGATGCTGATGCTGATGCGCTGATGCTGATGCTGATGCGCTGATGCTGATGCTGATGCTGATGCGCTGATGCTGATGCTGATGCTGATGCTGATGCGCTGATGCTGATGCTGATGCGCTGATGCTGATGCTGATGCGCTGATGCTGATGCTGATGCACTGATGCTGATGCTGATGCTGATGCGCTGATGCTGATGCTGATGCTAATGCTGATGCTGATGCTGATGCGCTGATGCTGATGCGCTGATGCTGATGCTGATGCGCTGATGCTGATGCTGATGCTGATGCGCTGATGCTGATGCGCTGATGCTGATGCGCTGATGCTGATGCTGATGCTGATGCGCTGATGCTGATGCTGATGCTGATGCGCTGATGCTGATGCGCTGATGCTGATGCTGATGCGCTGATGCTGATGCGCTGATGCTGATGCGCTGATGCTGATGCGCTGATGCTGATGCGCTGATGCTGATGCTGATGCTGATGCTGATACGCTGATGCTGATGCTGATGCGCTGATGCTGATGCTGATGCTGATGCGCTGATGCTGATGCACTGATGCTGATGCTGATGCGCTGATGCTGATGCTGATGCTGATGCTGATGCGCTGATGCTGATGCGCTGATGCTGATGCGCTGATGCTGATGCTGATGCACTGATGCTGATGCTGATGCTGATGCGCTGATGCTGATGCTGATGCGCTGATGCTGATGCTGATGCGCTGATGCTGATGCTGATGCTGATGCGCTGATGCTGATGCTGATGCGCTGATGCTGATGCGCTGATGCTGATGCTGATGCGCTATGCTGCTGCTGATGCGCTGATGCTGATGCTGATGCTGATGCGCTGATGCTGATGCTGATGCTGATGCTGATGCTCTGATGCTGATGCTGATGCTGATGCGCTGATGCTGATGCGCTGATGCTGATGCTGATGCGCTGATGCTGATGCTGATGCTGATGCGCTGATGCTGATGCTGATGCTGATGCTAATGCTGATGCTGATGCGCTGATGCTGATGCGCTGATGCTGATGCTGATGCTGATGCGCTGATGCGCTGATGCTGATGCGCTGATGCTGATGCGCTGATGCTGATGCTGATGCTGATGCGCTGATGCTGATGCTGATGCTGATGCGCTGATGCTGATGCGCTGATGCTGATGCGCTGATGCTGATGCGCTGATGCTGATGCGCTGATGCTGATGCGCTGATGCTGATGCGCTGATGCTGATGCGCTGATGCTGATGCTGATGCTGATACGCTGATGCTGATGCTGATGCGCTGATGCTGATGCTGATGCTGATGCGCTGATGCTGATGCACTGATGCTGATGCTGATGCGCTGATGCTGATGCTGATGCTGATGCGCTGATGCTGATGCTGATGCGCTGATGCTGATGCTGATATGCTGATGCTGATGCTGATGCGCTGATGCTGATGCTGATGCGCTGATGCTGATGCGCTGATGCGCTGATGCTGATGCTGATGCTGATGCTGGTGCTGATGCTGATGCTGATGCTGATGCGCTGATGCTGATGCGCTGATGCTGATGCGCTGATGCTGATGCTGATGCTAATGCTGATGCTGATGCTGATGCTGAAACGCTGATGCTGATGCTGATGCTGATGCGCTGATGCTGATGCGCTGATGCTGATGCTGATGCTGATGCTGATGCGCTGATGCTGATGCGCTGATGCTGATGCTGATGCTGATGCGCTGATGCTGATGCTGATGCTGATGCTGATGCTGATGATGCTGATGTGCTGATGCTGATGCGCTGATGCTGATGCTGATGCTGATGATGCTGATGCTGATGCTGATGCTGCTGATGCTGATGCTGATGCGCTGATGCTGATGCTGATGCGCTGATGCTGATGCTGATGCGCTGATGCTGATGCGCTGATGCTGATGCTGATGCTGATGCGCTGATGCTGATGCGCTGATGCTGATGCTGATGCTGATGCTGATGCGCTGATGCTGATGCTGATGCTGATGATGATGCTGATGCTGATGCTCATTGCGCTGATGCTGATGCGCTGATGCTGATGCGCTGATGCTGATGCACTGATGCTGATGCGCTGATGCTGATGCGCTGATGCTGATGCGCTGATGCTGATGCGCTGATGCTGATGCGCTGATGCTGATGCTGATGCTAATGCTGATGCTGATGCTGATACGCTGATGCTGATGCTGATGCTGATGTTGATGCTGATGCTGATGCTGATGCTGATTCTGATGCTGATGCTGCTGATGCTGATGCTGATGCTGATGCGCTGATGCTGATGCTGATGCGCTGATGCGCTGATGCTGATGCTGATGCGCTGATGCTGATGCTGATGCTGATGCGCTGATGCTGATGCTGATGCTGATGCTGATGCGCTGATGCTGATGCTGATGCGCTGATGCTGATGCTGATGCTGATGCGCTGATGCTGATGCTGATGCTGATGCGCTGATGCTGATGCGCTGATGCTGATGCTGATGCTGATGCTGATGCTGATGCGCTGATGCTGATGCTGATGCTGATGCGCTGATGCTGATGCGCTGATGCTGATGCTGATGCTGATGCTGATGCTGATGCTGATGCGCTGATGCTGATGCTGATGCTGATGCGCTGATGCTGATGCGCTGATGCTGATGCTGATGCGCTGATGCTGATGCTGATGCTGATGCGCTGATGCTGATGCTGATGCTGATGCTGATGCTGATGCGCTGATGCTGATGCTGATGCTCATGCTGATGCTGATGCGCTGATGCTGATGCTGATGCTGATGCGCTGATGCTGATGCTGATGCTGATGCTGATGCGCTGATGCTGATGCTGATGCGCTGATGCTGATGCTGATGCGCTGATGCTGATGCTGATGCGCTGATGCTGATGCTGATGCTGATGCGCTGATGCTGATGCTGATGCTGATGCTAATGTGATGATGATGCTGATGCGCT